ACCTATCTGTGGTGCAGGGTTTTCCTTTAAAAATCATAAAATGATTCTAATCTGGCAATTATTTGCAGTAAGATTAGAACTAATTAGCTTCGTTCTGTTCCTTGTTTTTGTATATCCATTAACTCAAAAGTAGAAAGCTTGATTGTCTTATAATAGAGGGTTAAGTAATTGATGTGAGTTGGATCTCTGTATTTTTCGCAGGTGGATTTCGGTGAAGCAGATTTTAAGTGCTAGTGACAAAGAGTTTGTGCATAGAGCAGCTAATGACCACCGTATAGTATGGACTCGCACCATTTGGTTGCTTATGGTGTGACCGGTAGTGATTTGTTGTATTCTTCATACCCTACTGTTAGTCTTCTAGAGAATAGACCATTTGGTACATCGAAATTTGATTCAGGAAATTCGCCACTTGTGAACTATTTTTACTCTGAGACCTTCAACACAGCGAGTGATTACCAGGAGCAGCACAGCTGTATAGAGAATCTTTCAGGTGCTAGTTCTTCAAGTGGTTCCACACTGGATTGTAACCAATATTTCCATCGGCCAAGCTCCTCGGAAGATCATCTTCCAGAAGCTCCTTACAGTTCCGTAACATGAAACATACTCTGCTGCAGTTGGAGTCTGCTTTAATGGGGCCAGATGAAGAGGCAATGAAATCCAGCCCTTATCTTGGTGAAAATATGGGGCACAAACATCAGGTCAGAGGTATAAAGCGTGGAACAAGGAAGCCCAAGTTGTGCATCATCAACAATCAGTAGTTTCCATCCTTAATGGAATTCAAAGTGATAAGCGAGACAATGTAATGGAGGACTTGCCCTTGCAGGGTGTTCCGTTTAGCAATCTGAAGAGCTGCTTATAGCTTGCGCCAGAGCTCTTGCTGAGAACAAGCTAGATGATTTTGAAATACTGGTTGCTAAGGCGAGGAGTGTTGTGTCCGTTACTGGAGATCCCATCCAGCGTCTTGGTGCTTACATTGTAGAAGGCCTCGTAGAAAGAAAGGAGTTATCTGGAACCACCATATACAGGAGTTTGAAGTGTAAAGAGCCGGCTGGTAAGGACTTGTTCTCCTACATGTATATCCTCTATGAAATATGTCCTTACCTAAAGTTCGGCTACATGGCTGCAAATGGTGCCATAGTAGAAGCATGCAGAAATGAAGATCGCATCCACATTATAGACTTCCAAATTGCACAGGGGACCCAATGGATGATTCTCTTACAAGCTCTTGCAGCACGACCCGGTGGTGCCCTCTACGTACGTATTACAGGAATTGATGATTTAGTTTCACAGTACGCTCGGGGAGATGGATTGGCTGCAGTTGCCAGACGGCTATCAGCAATTTCTGAGGAGTTCAACATTGCTGTTGCGTTTCATGCAGTGCCAGTTTTTGCTCTGGAAATCACTTGGGATATGCTTGATGTAAGGCCTGGTGAGGCTCAGGCTGTAAACTTTCCTTTGCAACTTCACCACACCCCTGATGAGAGCGTTGACGCGAATAACCCTAGAGATGGTCTCATTAGGATGATAAAGTCACTTTGCCCCAAGATAGTCACTTTGGTGGAGCAAGAATCAAACACGAACACAGCTCCATTTCTCACTAGGTTTGTAGAAGCTCTAGATTACTACCATGCAATGTTTGAGTCCATAGATGTGACCCTACTAAGGGACATGAAGGAGCGGATCACTGTGGAGCAGCACTATTTGGCTAGGGATATAGTGAATGTCATAGCATGTGAGGGCAAGGAAAGAGTAGAACGTCACGAGCTATTGGGGAAGTGGAAATCCAGGTTCAAGATGGCAGGTTTTCAGCAATATCCTTTGAGCTCTTTTGTGAATTCAGTGATTAAGGACCTCATGAAGCGTTACTCGGATCATTATACACTGGTGGAGCAAGACGGAGCTATGCTGATATGCTGTGGGGGTGGAAGGAGCGGAATCTAGTCTCTGCGTCTGCTTGGTTTTAACGAATTACTTCAGAAACGAAGCTGTAGTTCATTATGTGGAAACAGATGGTTAGCCTTCTTTTTTATTACTTATCCAGACAATAGGATTGATCAAGTAATTATACTCGTGTTATATAGTTTCAATTTTCTGAAATTTTAGTATATAAAAATGCTTTATGTTTATTGTTCAAGTTATCCTTGATATTATTCGTTAGAAGTATAAACAATTAGTTCTCGTCCTTGATGATTTGTTGAGCAACTTTGGAGAAACCATGTTCAGTTTCTCTAGTTTAAATAAAATAGAGGTGTATATGGTACGCTTTGAGATGACAAATTCGAGCCATGAAAACATTACCAACGCTTACTCTTGGAACAGTAGTTACTAATGCTTACATTAAGATAGACTGGGAGCGGAGCAGAGCTTTTCTATATTCATTGAGGTACATTTCATTTTAATGCAAATACAAACAAACAATTTAGCAATCTATGAATATATTGAAGTGGAACTTATCCAGACATCTGGTGTCTGGTTCATTCACCAAACACCAGATGAGTGAAGTAGCAAAAAATCAAATTAAATAAGTAAGCATCGTTGGTATAAAGAATTCTACTTTAAAGTAAATGGTTGATATCCCAATTATAACGAGCTTGATAGAAGAAGTTCATATGAGCATGTCTGATACGGATGCAAAGCCACATCGACCATCCTCCAAGGCAGGATGCCGAGGCTTTGGTTTAGCATACTCAGCAACTATAACCAATCCATCAAGGAACTACAAAAGAGAAGATGGAAAAAATGCAAGGAGCATAAACATGGACTAGGAGAACGTTATTCAAAATCTAATGTTATCACAACTCACCTGGCCATCCATGGCCTCTAAACCAGCTGCAGATTCTTCCATAGTTTGATATCTAACATAACCACAACACGTTGAATAACCAGTTATACCATCTGTCAACACTTTTGCTGCAAAACCATAACATATATGATCTCTTCACCAGTGAGATGTATATATAAATATATACGAAAGGTACAAGTAAAACATACCATCGAGCACTTCACCATACTCAGAAAATGCATTTCGAAGAGATTCAGAGGTAGTATGTTTGCTAAGACCTGAATGGAGGGTACAACTTCAGAAACCATATGGTCCAGCTAGGTTAAGTGTGAGTTCCAATAAATAAAGAAAAAAAAGTCCAAAAACAACTCCAAATTTTATATTGATAGCCAAATACAATTCCAATTTCCAGGTACCTTGAAAACAAAACTACATTTTTCGTCAATGAAATATGGTCAAAACTGAAACACGTGATATTAGTTAATCTCTTACTTAATAAATACTAAAATATTTTTGAAAACCAAAACGACAAATTGATGATATTAAACATAGATCGATCTGTATTATAGTGGAATTATCTGAGATCATATTGGACATTTAACGCAATTCTTATTTAAAATAATGGATCTCGAAGGAAAAAACCGAAGAAATTGACCGGAAACATAAAGTTTGGTGGATGGTTCAGGCGGCGATCCGGTCCTCGGTTGATACAAAGGTACATTAGCAGAAAATGAATAGAAAACTGCCCGGAGACCTCTCGGTGCTACCGGAATCCTGACTGCTGCCGCTGCTCGTAAGGCCATTATGGATATAGGGAGTTTAGATACTGAAACACTATCACAGATCTATTTGAGAACACAAGTAAATTTGGTTGTTCTTTTTTCATATATACATATATAGAAATATTAACACCTTGTTTGAATGATGATTATTAGAAGTTTTATTGTATTGTTAGTTTAAATATAATGTATGTTTTAATTGTTATTTAAATTTTATTGTATTGATTTTAATATTTTATTCTCATTTTTTCTTTCTTATCTAATTCTATTTTATCTTATATCTTATAATTTCATGTAAGTTATGAGAACAATAAGATCTATCTAAATATTCTATTCTTTTTGTTTTTATTTTTATGTCAAGAAACTATGTACGTTTTACCATTGTACCTTTATTTTGTATTCTCTTTAAGTTAAATTTTTAATAAATGACCTAAATTAATTAAGGTGGTCGATGAATAAATTAATCATTTAATTAAAAATCACAACAAATTACCTATTTTGTATTTTGACAAGCTAAATATACCAATAAAGTTCTCAAAAATTCCTAACAGTCACACATAAAATATTTACTGTTATAACAGATACTAATATGTGTCAATTTTGACAACTAATCAGGCTATTATGTTCCTAGTTTTTAGGTAAACTAATCAGGCTAATACGTGTTAACGTTCTAGAGGTTTTAAAAGTAGTTTTCGTAAATTGTCATTAATATTTCAATATCAGCTATACTATTAATAAAATTGAGCAAAAGTTGAGTTGAACAACAAATGTTGTATGTTTCACCTTTTTTGCAACAAAAGACAGCACCAGTGTATAAACTCTATACTATAACTAACACTTAAATAATAGAATAATTACAGATATCTAAATTATACTACATACATAATTATGATGTCTATGTATGTATATAATAAGAGAAACTATGACTTAAAATTGAAGGGATACATAATGAGATTGAGTAGTCATTGTGTTTCACTTAAACATAGAAGAAAAGGAAAACAGAATGAGCCAAGCTAAACACATTTATAAATGGCAAAGTTGTGTAAGCAAGGGTCCTTAACAAAACTTCTAAAATAATATCCCAACAAAACTTAAACTTAACTTAGTATAAAGATGATAGTAGCTGAATACTCAAAATCCAAATACAACAAGGAAAACAGTAACACAAACTAATATCTTAGGCCTTGTCAGCTTTGGCAGCAGTAGCAGCAGCTTGCCCACGAAGACGACCAGTCCTCCTTGCTGCAATAAGACCAACCTTTTGCGCAGGTGGTGCATCACGACACGCAGTACTGGCATGACCAATATGTTGATGGTTACCACCACCATGAGGATGCTCCACCGAATTCATAGCAACACCACGAACCTTAGGCCAACTGTTCCTCTTAACACGGTATTTGTGGTATGCGTTACCAGCTTTAAGCATTGTTTCTCAGTTCTTCCTCCACCGGCAACCTGACCAATCATGGCTCGACATCCACTGGGCACAATCTTCTTGGATCCAGATGGAAGCTTAATCCTAGTACAAGAAAAAACTGAATAGAATAATCCACCCCCTAAAAAAAACACTTGAATGCCGCAGAAAGGGATATTATGCACGTCAATAATGCAAAGTTATAGACTATTCATACAGAACATGATGCAGAAATATACAGTATAATTGAAAAACTAATGAAGGAATCAACAAGACCTTTGCAGCTTCATACCTTGCAATTCTGCTGCTAAAGCTACATTCGAAGTCTTCTAAGCACTATGTTCTGAGCCTCCGATCATCACTCCAATTTTAAAATGCTAGATGCAGCACAGAGGCAATAGTAACTTGAGTTTTAAAAATACAAAGAGCAGAAGACTGGTAAATATAACACGTACTAGTTACAACAACCATCTATACCCCAAGGAAGAAGAGATCATAAATACAATTTTGTACTTCACGATCAAATTTAATATGTTCTTTAGGTGTCTAACAGCAACCTGTATCCTTATTGGGACCTTCATCTTTATAGTGCTGAAGAAGAGTCAACCAAACTCATGCGTAAGTTGGCAACTCATACTAAGCTTTTCTTTATACAAAAGGGCACATGATATTCACTTCAGTTTCACGTAACTGGTATGCTGGATATCGTGATAATCTATGCAAATAGTACCATGTGAAGGAAGCCTTTGTTTCAGGTACTTTACATTTTCAAGACATGGTTCATTGAATGCTAGACGCATCTACTTCAATTGAACTCCAGCCTAGTGGCCTCTGTACTGCGCCCTCATCCATCAATCGTCTTATTTTCATTGCATCGTCCCATCTCTCTGCAGTGGCGTAAGTGCTTGATGACAGAACATAATTACCACCATTATCAGGATCTAATTGAAGAAGTTTGTTCGCAGCGATTTCAGCAAGAACCACATTACCGTGAAGTTTACAAGCACTAAGCAACATTCTCCACAAAACCACATCTGCCACCATAGGCATAAGATTTAGAAACTCAAATGCTCTATTTAAATTACCAGATCGGCACAACAAATCAACAACACATCCATAATGCTTCATTTCTGGGACCAATCCGTGACGTTTTTTCATGCTCTCGAAGTATTCCAAACCTTTGTCCACCAAACCTGCATGAGCACAAGCAAGTAGTACGCCAACAAAAGTACCATGAGTTGGCTTACAACCTTCTCCTAACATCTGCGAGAAGAGCTGAATAGCATTATCATGAAAGCCATTCACTGCAAGGCCAGAGATCATTGAAGTCCAAGAAACAGTATCCTTTTTGCTCATGCTCAAAAACACTTCCAAGGCTGTATTAACGGATCCACATTTGCAGTACATATCCACCAGTGCATTCCCCACGTAAATATCCATTTTAATGTCATGCTGATGAACATATTCATGTACTGCCTTACCCACATCAAATATACCTAAATGTGCACAAGCAGAAAGCACACTAGCGACTGTGACTTCATCAGGCTTAACCTTAATTGCCATCATTTCTTGGAAAAGTGCAATAGCATCTGAAAATCGATTAGCTTGGCAATATCCTGTGATCATAGAAGTCCAAGAAATGACATCTCTGTTGGGCATCTTATCAAAAAGTTTCCGTGCAGCCATTAAATCCCCTGCTTTAGCATACCCCATTATCATGGCATTCCATGAAACCACATTTTTCTCCTTCATCTTAGTAAAAACTTCATCAGCTAAGATAACTAATCCACGCCTACCATACATATCAATCAATGTATTCCCCAAGTATACATCAATTCTCACACAACTATCCCTTATATACTTCGCCACAAAATCCGCCGTGTCAAAATCCCCTAAATAGCTACAAGCTAGCACTACTTTCACCAATGTCACTGCGTCCGCCTTCACATTTTCTGCCTGCATAGAAGCAAAAAGACCCAATACTTCATGATATTTATAACATTGACTATACCCACAAATCAATGAGTTCCATGATACTAAGTCTCTCTCAGACATTCGATCAAACACCTTTCCAGCACCAACTAGATCACCACACGAACCATACGTATAAATCAAAGCATTACACACATACAAGTAGGACTGATACCCAAGTTTCAGAACATTAACATGAACTGCCTGTCCAAGTACAATATCGGAAAGCTGTACACAAGCCTTAAAGATGAAAATGAAAGTGAGGTTATTTCCAGGGAATCCTTGTTGACGCATTCTGACATACATGTGGAGTGCTTCAATGGGTCGATCACTCTTAGACAAACCACGAATCATGTAATTCCAAATTGGCAATGTTGGTCGTTCAGTTTGATTAAAAGCAACAAGGGCTTTGTGTAGAGACGTCGGAAAAAGAGAGTATAATCTAATAACGTGTGAAATAGCAAAAGGGTCGGAATATTTTTGAGTTCTGATGAGATGAGCATGAAGCTCTTTGGCGGACGCAATGGAGTTTGAACTGTTCAAGTATGGAGCTGCTTTTTGGAGAGGGAAGGAGGTGGACGAAAATGGTCTTGACAGTTTCATTAAATTTTGGATGATAAATCCAATTTCTCGGTGAAGGGAGTCTGTTGGTGTTTTGGATACGGCATTTGAGCTTCCACAAATCTTTTTTCTTGGTTATAAACTAAGATTAACAACGGAGAAGGGATCACATTATTGAAAATGGTACAAAAATCTACTTATTCATTCTAAAATATCATTTTTATTCATTTATTGCTCCAAAAAAATTTTGTAGTCATTTTTTATTCAAAATTGATCACTTATTTAACAGTTTTATATTCAAATTATTTAAATATATTAGAAAAAAGATATAAAGTGAAACCTGAAGTTGTCTCGAATTTTTAAAAAGACACTTAAATTATGCAAACATCCTATTACCCCCTAAACAATTCTAAATTGATATTATTACATCATATTTTGTTTATCTAGCATGGAGAGTATATGCACTCTATTAAAGAGCGTGAACAAATTTAAAAAATGAATATAATTTTATTTTTACAAGTATTTTGCTATAAATTATATTTTCTTGTTTTTCTTATTATGTTAACTTTTTCTCTTTATTAATTTTATTTTTTCTTTCTTGCTTCTTCTTCAAAAATTCATTGTTATTTTCATGGTAACTTCACTTTCAGTGTCATCTTTTATCACAACTCCACCACCTTTTTTACTACTATTAGTTTAACTCTCTTCAACTTTAAAATTATATCTAAATATTTTATTACATTTCGAACAATTTGATAACCCACTAGATTTCAAGATGATTAGAAGGTATTATTTATTTTTTAAAATCCAAATTTCACTTAAATTTTTTCAATTTTCGGAGAATTCTTATTCTTACGAAATTATCATTTTTAGTTTTGAAGTTATATGAAATGAGATAAATTAATTGATGATACCTTCAAAATTTTAGTTTTCTTAAAAGAATAATTAGTTTTGTTATCAATGTCACAAATACTAGAAAATAATATAATTTTGAAAGAAAGGATTTGACCGAAAATTAAGAAGAAGAAAAATGGAGGAGCTCAACTTGACATAGGGGTAGGGTGAGGTGAGGGTGGGAGGTGAAGAAGAAAGAAAAAAAAAAGAAAATGAAGGGAGGAGTAACTTGAAAGTAGGGTGAAAGATAAAGAATTTAAAGTGAAATTAAAATTAAAGCAATAAAATTAGGGAAAATACCCAAGTACCCCCTCAACCTATGCCCGAAATCCCAGAGACACACTTATACTATAATAAGGTGCTATTACCCCCTTAACTTATTTTATATGTAATTTTCTACCCCTTTTTAGCCTACATGACACTAGTTCAAAAAAAAAGTCAACCATCGTTGGGCCCACAAGATAGTGCCACGTAAGCTAAAAAGGGGTAAAAAATTATTAATAATATAAGTTCAGGGGGGTAATAGGACCTTAGTATAGTATAAGTGTGTCTATCAGATTTCGGGCATAGGTTGAGAGGGTACTTGGGCATTATCCCATAAAATTAAAATAAGTCAAAAAGTAAGAGAGAAATAAATAAAACTTAAAATTAAAAAAATACATATATATCTAATTAATTAACACGTGTCACCCAATGATTGGTGTGTGATAACCACTTGTTATTCAGAATCTAGTATTGGTCGAAAAATGATGTAATAATATATTATCAGAATTGTTTAGGGGGGTAACAGAACGCCCGCATAGTTAAGATGTCTTTTTGAAAATTTGGGACAACTTTAGGTGTCACTTGATGTCTTTTCTCAGTATATTTTAAATATGTGACACTCAACTATTTGTTATAATTGAACTTATTTATATAATTTAAAAATCAATTCACTATACATCCATTACTAATTAAACCCCTCCAAATTAATAAACTCGTTATATTATTAATGCAACAACAGAAAAGTTACTGTCAATTGAGTGTTTTTAAAAATTTGAGGCGAAAAATATCAATAGAAGTAAATTATCATACATTCAAGTGTTTAAATAAAAATTACCAATAAATTTAAAAGTCTGACTATGTTCATATTAAGTATTCTTACGTCTCAATTATGTAATGTTATTTCATAGGTAACTTCTTTTCAAAATAATATATTAAAGGTTTTAAAACAAATCATAAATATTTATAAAATTATATTTTAAAAAAGTACATGAATCAATTTGTGATGTATTACTTCTTTACCTTTAATCATAAATTTCTAATTCAATCTTAAAAGAGAATCCTATTGAAAGTGTCCTCCTAAATAAGCGGCTCAATCTAAATTTAATTGGGGCTTCAATTCGGACTCAAATAATTTGGATGTCATTTTCAGAAATTTATAATATCATCGTGTTTTAGTAGTGTTTATGACAATTTTGATATTATAATTGAATTATTAATTGGGTGGGGTTTAGTTAGTAATGAATGGATAGTTGATTGGTTTATAAATTTTTATTAACAGACTAAATTATAACCAATAGTTGAACGCCAAATATTTTAAAAAATATTTAAAGAGTTTAATTTTAAAACAATTAAAGAAGTGGTCAATTTTGAACTCAAAGGTGGATGATAATGATATTTTGGAGCCAATTGGTGGATGAAAAGGACATTTTGGAGCCAATAGGTGGATGAAGGGTAATTTTCTACCATTTTCAATATTTCAAGGGTATTTTAGGCCCTTTTCCGGATTAACAAGGATGACACCGGCTCTATTAAATATGAAGTAGTAATTATCGTTTGATATCAATGAATTAAAAATAAAGCAACTTATAAAAATGATTATATTTGTATAGTTATTAAAGTTCCAACAAATATAATTTATGTTATTTATAAAAAATAACTACTATAATTTATATTTTTTTTAGCTATATTTCTTTATGTATTTTTATTTTTTTATTTATACATTAGTATAATATTAATTATGATGAATTAAATAAGGAAAATGTATTAATTGTGTAGTGTTAGAATATGAATATTTTGAATTCAAATTAGTATCTATATTTATAAAACTTAAAGTATTAATATATATATATATATATATATATATATCAACGATACAAGTATTTATAAAAACTTAATGTATTAATATATCAAACAAAGTTAAATGTGACAATTAGTATATGAACACAGCTATTTAAAAAATGAATACATTTTTGTTATTCATAAAATGAATACAATATAGTATACATATCAATACATTGTTATTAAACCAAAGATGGATAAATTGGACGACATAGAAACAAGAAAAATGAAAAATAAAAGAATGTGTAAGTATGTGTAAGAATTTGCCTTTTTGGTAAGAATTTGCCTTTCTGGTAAGTTTTTCATGTAATGAATGAAGCTTGATGTTAACTTAGGTATTTTTTTATAATAATATATTATTAATGTATCCAATAATACCTGTATTGCCTAATCAAACTTTTAAATTGGATAGATTACTTATGTATCCAGATATAGTTGTATTCGCAAATCATTATTTCAAGTTGTGTTAATATTATAACACAAGTATATATATAAATATTCTACTATATACAAATTTGACAATCACACAATATTGCTTATGTTCTTCCTCTACTATTTTTTTTAATATAATTATAGTCATTGTAATGGAGAAAACAAAATAATTCTTCAATCAAAATTCTATAAAGATAAATGAAAATATAAATGATACAAATATAATTTTCATTAAAAAAAAGAAAAAATTAATTAAAAGATACTTGATGAATTGTTTTGACTAATGATAGGTACATACATCGATCGTAGACTAATGATGAAATTGAAGATGGAGGTGGCAAATTAAATTGTTTCAAAGCAAAAATATTTGTGCGCCTAAAATAGCCTTGGAAAGGTTAAGAGTCGTCACTGGTATGAGTGAATCCTAGGAATATGTAACTAGCAATCTTGGAAAAAGCATAACCAATCATAACTCATAGATATCTATAAAATTCTTTTATTTCTCTCTCTCTCTCTCTATATATATATCTATCTATCTATTATGCAATACCTATCTATTTTTTACTTTAGATAGGCCAAGAAAGTAGTTAGTAGTGTATTATTAAAAGGATTACCTCCAAACTTTTCATTCAGAGCTCCACAAAAGAGTCATGGCTTGAGTCATGATTCAATTCATCAAGTCGTGTAAATATTTATTTTAGTTTTTAGATCGAAAATTTTAACCATTCACTTTGAAGACTGACAATGTAAATATTAATGAAATATAAGAGAATTCTTTAAAAATTCTTAAATAAGCATAAACTCAATTATTAAAATCATTATTTATACAAACAAAATGGAAACCTTATCACTAGATTTTGCAGTCATACTATGTAAAGTGACATAACAAAAATAGTATCAGTACAAACAACATATACCGATAGGCATTATCAATTGACCCAACCTACCATATAATATCTTGCTAGAAAATCAACGAAACATGCAACTTAAAGATTAAATTAGTACACAATTCACACATGAACCACTAGTACTGCCTCAAAACTCGATACGCCCTATCACTTCCGCTGCCAACTCCACTCCCATTAGATCATAACTTAATCCGTTTATCACATAACATTTTTATGAACACCAGACTACTAACTCTTCCACTCCTTTCCTTACACTCTAGTGTTATAGCATACCAACTCGGTCCTTCAGGGACCAATATACACAACTATACATATATGACGTGTCATCAGCTTATCCAATAATAATAATAGCAATAATATCAAAACACTAAAAATGATCATTAGCGATAATTAATTTTTAATTGCTGCTAAATATATATTTTTAGCGGCAATTAACACTCTTTGTATATGTTTCTAACGTTTTTAACGACATTAATTCTAATGGCACTCAACTAATGTTAGTAAATATTTTAGCACTCTTTATTAATCTCTCTCTCTCTCTCTCTCTCTCTCTCTATATATATATATATATATATATATATATATATATATATAAATAAAATAATTAATAATTCTATTATACTTATACCTACATGTAACACATATATTTTATATGATTGACAACATCTTATACTTCATCTGTCTCAATTTATGTGACACTTTTCATTTTTTAGAGTTAAACAGTTTAAGTTTGATAAAAAATTTATGCATAAAATATTTTCTTTTTTTAGATGAAATTTATATATTTATAAATTACGTAAAAAATATTATAAATCACAATAATTAATAATTCAAAAATATTTTAA